TTCCTCTGAATTCTTGATGGAAGGAGGAGCACACAATTTTTAATAATTATTCATGGTTCTAACTTTGTTTATCATGTAGAAAGAAGTATTCAGACTGACCAAAGAATCAGAATTTCTTTAGTCTTTTGCTGCATCATCAGCAGAAACTAGATAATTATATCATTGCCTATTTTTCCTCCGGTCAAGTGGACAATCACACTGTGGCAAACTGGTCAGGTTCTTGTATTAGTCTGAAACTCTCAAGTGTCAGTCACTCTCAAACACAAGCAGAACAATAAGTTGATGCATAGCAGAATTTGCTATATTCAAAATATTAGTTTTTAGCAAAGACTTCTTTTTCATTTAATGTATCTTCGTTTAATTTTTTTTTTTTGTGAGTAATTAGTTTAGAAGAAAATAAATTAAAGTGAAAAGAAATACAATTTGAATTATAAAAAAATTCTTATGCCTAATAATAAACTGAAAAATGTATAAGTATGATGACAGTAGTTTTCATGGTTAGTTTATATTGTTTTTGAAAAAATAACATAGTTGTAGAATAAATTAAAGTAAATTATTGTTGGTATTAATTGTAAATTGTATGGTACGTTTAATGTGGATTGAGTTTTCAAAATAATTGTATTTCCGCCCTTCCTCCACACATCACATACAGATTTTATGGTTTTTGATGATAAATAAATACCATAATGCATTTCTGACTAAAGTTTCAGAAGGATAAATAAATACCATAATGCATTTCTGACTAAAGTTTCTATAAATTTTAAAATCATATTGCTGTATTCATAGTTTTTTCACATGCCATAGATTATATTAGTAATTCAAACTAAAGTTCTAACCTCATTATCACATCATCATTAGGGAACGAATTTGATGACCTAAAACATCGCTAAAAATTATCAATAAAATGCTATTAAAATATTTTTAAAATACTCTAAAAGCAAAGAAAAATGACAAAAAATGTGATCAGAACCAATTTGGTTGAACAACACGAAATGTTTGATACATTATTGATGTAATCAATGTTTCTTCTATTCATTCAAGTGAACTTAGCTTCAAACTTTTGTTTTTTACTGGTTTTCCCCCCCAGAATATCTCTATCTTTAGTTATCTCAAAATCAGGTGAACCAACAATGGCGCTGATGGACATCACAGAAACCTTGGATGGCATAATCACAACAACTAACATTACAATTTCTGAAGAAATCAAATAGGCTACTCAGGAATTCTATGGAAAACATTTGTTCCATCATGGAAATATTACTTAAAGCTAGTACCATTAAAATTATTAAAATCGATGAAATCAGCAAAAAAATGCATTATAAATGATGGGAAAAGGTAAAAATGATTTATTAGTTGAAATCGTAGAAAAATGTTAAAAAAATGACTTATAAAAATGGGTCATTTCCTTTTGTCATAACATTATATTAATTTCTGTACTAAACAGCATTGTTAATAAGTGAAAAGAAAGATGAAAAAAAAATTCATTAAATTCCAACTCCTTATCATCATCATCATTATCATCATATACTCCTGCAGCATGAAAGAGCATGTTCCTGGTTGAACAGTTGGCATGAAAAGGATATTAATCCTCCAGGTTTTCATGCATGATACAAGTCTATCATGATCTTCATATGAAATATTTAACCTAAAATTAATATTTGTTTCACTTGTATGCAACTTCAACTTGATAAAAAATGATAAATAAAAGAAGTTGTCTGGTATCAACAATTTATTTGGCTGATGATCGTTTCGATCTCGTAGCGATCATCCTCAGAGCTTGCAGCTTCCAGGCCGAAAACCAAATTCTTCCCAGACAACATGCTTTATTTATCACACTTAAATATTAGAAGGTATCTACCTCACCAGCGATCTAATTAATAACTTCAATTTGTTTTAGCTTAGTGAAAGATGTTTCTAAAAATTATTTGCATAGTATTTTTTGTAAAAAAAAAAAAAAGAAATAAAAAGTATTAAAAAAGAATTAAAAAGTATTGACACATGCTGATATAATTAATAATAAAAATAAAATTGGAATTACTAGGCTATAAGCCCAGATATAGCTGTCCCATTGGTCCAAACAACTTTCTTGGAAATACTAATTGTGTTAAGAAAATAAGATTTGAAAACATTTCTATGAAAATTGGAATGAAAGGAAAAATAGAGGAAAAAGCCTCACGTAATGTGAAGATAGATTCAAAAGAAACTTTCTTTGATTATCGAAAAACTTTTGTTTTGTATTTTCAAATAATAGAATTCTAAGTTCAAGGAAATGTATTTTTTTCCTCATTTCACTTGGTGATAGGTATCCAAAAAAAACATTTAATATTTACTGCATTTGTTGGAAGAGTTTCATTGCTCTTATTTTTTGAATATGTTATTTCTAAAACTAACTTCTAATTAAAATCTAAAGAGGTATTGTTTAGGAATGTGTCTTATTTCTTGTTAGGAAGTTGCCCCATATCTACTATGGTTATTGCTTAAAAAATAAAAGGACGGATGGAAACGGGTATAATTCTTGTATCGTTTTTAATTGTGCAGGGGCAAACGAGAAAACTCTTTCAAGTGTGTGGGGGTTGATAAGCATTCTTTGTTTCGATTTTCCACATTTCTGGAAAGACATTCCTTGGTGTAGTCTGTTGCGGACCTATACGAGCGTGTACCGACTCAGCGCTTTGGTCAGGAGGGTCGCGGGTTCGAGTCCGGTCTTGGGCATGACTGTTAGCCTCTGTAGATGTTGACCCAGAGGGCCTCGCGTTCTGCTGACCCAGATTAAGAGGAGCCCACAAGTGCGTTGGTGTCTAGTGTGTGATCGAATGTGCGTCCCATCAGGACGTAAAGGATATTAGCCCTAAGGAATAAAAGCCCTAAGGAAAAAAAGAAATTATTTGAAAAAGTGAAAAGAAATCGATTTATTTGTCTTGGCATCCTTAATAGTAATAATACATTAGAAAATGGACAAATGTTACGTTTTTATATATTTTTATGTCTCCATCATAAATATTATATCTACTTACATAAATGCCACAAAAATAGCTTTTCTGTAATTATCAACGTGTTTCAGAATAAATGTACAATATTTTGGATGCATGCAGAGGGACCACATTTATTACCACTTTTTGCCAATGTACAAGTAGCGGAACATTTTATTTTACGAAATTACACTTGTGACATTTTGCCCTGATCTGTAGGCTACTCCGTAAGCTCTAGTGATCCGCTGATTCAGGTGCGTTTATTATACACGAAGAGACAAAGTCTCCTAACTTCATGACGTCACGGAGATTAACTCTCTCAGACGGCTTTACACGGTTCGAAATATCTCCCGAAACGCGAGTCTCCTACCACACGGGAGAGTTGGTTCCTGAGATATCTCCGGAAAAGTATCTCCTTGCTGTTTACACTTGATACAAATGTCTCTCGATGTTCTCTGGCGCAGCCATCTTGAATAAGCAGCAGCGAGTAGTTTGAGGTTAGAATGTGACAACTGTTTCAACTGCCTGTTGCACTTTCACAATTTTGAAGAAGCGGAGGAAAAGAAAGAGAAGTGAGAGTGATTTTGTTTTCTCGAGAAAAGAAAACCTGAGTATTTATAAAACTTTTGATGGCGGAATTGCAAGAAGAGGATTTTTTAAAAAATATTTATTTGCTACCTGTTGCATTTTTTCAGAGACAATAAAATGAAACAAGTTTTAATTTACGGACGATTTAAAAAAAGTATTTGGAAAACGTGGTCGGAGTACAGGATGAGGAAAATAGTTTTGACCTAATGTAAAGGTTTGAAAACTGGGTTAAGTTGATAATTTGTTTTAGAAACTTTTAGTGAAGTTAAGTATAAACGATTTCAAAGAATCGCTTTTAAGATCTCTGTAAATTTGTGTTATGATATAAACTAGGACAGATGTAAAATGTTGCGAAGGAGATTATTTTGAATTATTTGAAATTTGTTAATTTTGGTGGTACGAATTACACCTAGGGCAGGCATATAAAAGAGAAGACCTAATTATGGTTTTATATAACAAATTTTTACAATTGATCTGTAATTTGAAGTTTTAATTTATTAAAGGATGTAATAAAAAATAATATAATAAACGATAATGTAGTCATGTACAAAAACTTCGTAACTTAAGAAGAATTTGAATTTTTTATTAGGAAATATCTCACGCAATCAAAAAGCAAGAAAAGTGTAAAATAATTTATTTCGGAAAGAGACTTGGTTTGAGGGTACGGCGGTTTTTGGCCACAGGAAATACATACAGTTCTTTGTCATTTGTATTTATAATTCCCCAGTATATAATTTCCCACAAAGAACAGAAATCAACCGACCACGTTGGAACGCTGCACAGACACAGACAGACGCAGAATGGCTAATTGAGCACGTGAACACCATACTATTCGTATACCAAGAGAGCAAAAAGTCTTCCAACTCTCTTTGAATACTATTTATCTCCCAGGAGATACGATTCCTTTCGATTCCAGAGTCTTTACACTGCTCTCTTGCGGAGAGTACGAAAATCTCTTGTGACGTCATGACTCCGGAGAGAAGATCGCTCTCCTGAGAGTTTACACGTGTCTCCTAACCAGTTGCGGAAAGTTAGGAGAGAAAACTCTCTCCATGTAAACGCGCCTTAATACGAACCTTGACTTGCGTAAAAAATTGACCTGACGAACACCCATGCAGAAAGAGTTGTGAAACAATCAGCGGTGAAATAACGTTTGTGTTATTTCGTTGCATGAAATTCCTTGCTATACGTTCGTTAGTAAAGAGGAATTATACTGAATTCATCTACAAGCACTAGAATTTTGTGACATTGATTTTGAGGTACTCTGAATCTGCTTAAAGATGTATTTCGTGAAGGTAATCAACTTTAATACAAATATAGCCCAACATATTTGATGTTTTCGTGTTGAAGTACTTTAGGATCTAAAAATGTATCACACTCCGTAATATGTTCATCACTCTCAGTTTAAAACCCTCACATAAGACGATGCTGTTCTGTGCGCAGACCCGGAGCCGGAGCTGGAGCTGCGTGTGTCAGCCACGCCGCTGTCGCACTCTGCGGCCAGGCACAAGATGGCGGTACGCCCTCGCCGCACTCACGGCGCCCCGCGGCGCAGGCAGCGACTGCACCAGGTGAGGCCAGTGTCGACAATGGGGAAAATAGTTTTTTTTTAAAAAGAAAAAAAAAACAGAACTCGAGAAAATCGTTATCGTAATTTTATAAGTCACGGTGCAGTAGTCTAATATTTCATAAAAGTTTCAATTAATTTTTTACGTTAAATAGTTAATTGTAGTCATTACTTATAATGACTCTATGAAATGAATCATATGACAGGGGACGGTCCCCTGCCCCACCCCCCGTGCTGACTCCTGTGTGTTTGTCGATCCAAATTTCCGTTGAAGCAAATCTCTTGTAGTAGAGGATCCTTCGAGCAGACGTAACTCGTTGGCTCCCTGTCATCATGCTTAGAAGATTATTTTCACATTCCCTACCAAATGGCGGCTCAGTTAGTGATGTTCTATTTTTTTTTAAATAATTGCCAGTGTTTTCTCCATTACCAATTTTGCCATTCCATCAGCCGAGCCCAGTCCTGCGCTTGCATTTCGCAGATACAGTTGTAATGCAGTCCTATAATTCATGTACCACCAAACACAAAGAGTTGCGAACCAATGAAGGGCAAATGTTACGTGTAGAAATTGATAACAACACATTTCCCACTACATTGGCAAAAAAAGTGATCATCTTGTATCCACCTTCATGTCTTAGACGTTTCTAACATTCATTCTGTATACGTTTGTGGTCCAATTAAGAAGTTAATCTTCCCATTCAGACTAAGAATATATTTTGAAGAGCGACAAAAGAAATGTCGGGCACGCTGAGATCAGTGTATAGCACGCGCGCGCGTGCCTGTGTGTGTGTGTGCAGCTGCCTGCGACGCCCGAGGTGCTGGAGGAGGGCGTAGGCCGTGCAGCCACCCCCGACACTCGCCACGCGCCCGCACAGGCCCAGCAGCCGCAGCCACAGCAGCAGCCACAGCCACAGCCACAGCAGCAGCCGCACAGTAAGCGACCGCTCTCCCGCCACCCGCAGTCCTCTTCACCCACCTGTGCATGCACCCTCTCGCAACCACTCCGCCGCCGCCTGTTTTTTGCTGTATGGGTAGTGTACTAGTGTTCAGTGATGCAATATTGTCAGTCCTCGTATCTTGGGTGAGTTGTTATACAGGAACTTGGAGTTATGCTTTTTAGAAAGGTTTTCGAGGACAGCGAGGAGACAATCAATCGCGCTGCAAGTGTTAGGGAGAGGCCTTCAAGGCATCGTTAGTTATCAGTTAGCATTGGATGCTGATGACACATCATCTTTTCATTGATGCATTCTAGACAAAGCAAACTTGTAAATTAATGATTATTTCGACATAGAGATGATAGAATAGTGTTGTTGGACATATAGATGATAGAATTATGTAGCTGTACTTTCAGTTGTTAGTAAAGAGGGCTTTTACAAAAGATGCAGATTTTAGGAAAAAATCATCAGTAAATACTAATTACGTTTCAAGCAAAATCCTTTATCTTTCCTGTGTTTTTCTCCTGTGTCATTAAAAAAAATATTTTGTGCCTGTGTGTTGCGCCTGCTTATATGCTTTCAGTGCATAAATTGAAAAGTTAAATTCAAATTTGAAACTGTTTGTGAGTGCTGTATTTACATTTGCTATCGCCAGGCCATTTGTGTTGTGAGTAACATTTCGGTTAAAAAATAAATAAATAAAATACCCCTAAGAATAAATTAAATTTTAAATTTGCTTTGTGAAATAAAAACTTGCACGGTTAGGAAAAAATCGCTTTTGTATTAAATGAGCCATTACGAATAACCTTTTCAAAATGTTGCTGTCTGTCAACTGATGGTATTATGTATATATCAGTAAATGAACACAGCTTGGCCTTAAATCTCTCGCCCGATAGGAAGGACGTGAGTAAGAGGTAAGTAGGACTGTCGGGTGCCGAGTCCAGGGGATGAACACGAGGGCAGAACCAACAGTTCCGTTTGGCGTGAGTGTGTGTGTGTGTGCTTCGAGTGCGCTGACCGCATGCCACGCTTGCTCCGCAGCGCCGGCCGCGCCCGCGTCGCAGCCCCCCGCTGACGCGCCCCAACGCGCGTCGTCCGCGCTGGGCCACGCCCCCCAGGCCACCTCCGCGCCCGCGCCCGCGCCCACCCCCTCGGGGCCTGGACCGGCGCGCGTCACCCGCAGCGTCCAACCGGCGGCGCGCCAGGGGAGCGCCGGCCGCGCTCAGGCGCGGCCTCCGGCGCCGCCGCCTCGCGACGCCCGGCCGGCGAGGACGCGCCCTCGTCGCGAGCCTTCACTGGCAATCCTGCGGGCAGCTGGGGGGGCGGGGCGGGCGACAAGACGACGCGGACAGGGCCGCCCAAGCACTCGGACGCGCCACACCACCAGCCCCAGCACAGCAGCCACGCCCGGGCGTGGGGTGGTGGCGCGGCGCGCCGGCCGCAAGCAACGCCGCACGTGCGCGCAGGCCGCAGCAGGCCTGCGAACCGGCAGCGGTCGAGCCCATCAACTCGCCGAGCCCGAGACGAGCGCATGCTGCGCGCCGGGCCGCGTCCAGCCGCCCGTGCGGCGCCCGAGCTTCTGGCCGGCCGCGGCGCGGCGCACTCCCTGCGGCACCGCCTCGAGGCGAACGCGAGCGCGAGTGCGTGTCGCTGTGGCGGCCCGTGCGCGCATTCGAGATGAGCGGCGCGCGCGCGCGCCCGTCAAAAGGTGCACAGCTTCCGCGCGGACCTGGCGCCGGCGCGGGGCCTGCGGTGGGCGTGGGCAAGGAACCCGCGCCGCGCCCCAACCCGTCCCCGCCCGGCTCGCTCCCGCGCCGGCGGCCGCGCTCCGCCTCCCTGCACTTCCGAACGGCAGTCAGCGCCTCGGGGACGAGCGGTGGCGCGCGGCCCTCAACACAAGTCCGCGTCGCTCCGACAGCATAGCAGCGGCGGCGTAGCAGCAGAGCAGCACACAGCAGCACGGCGGCGTGCGGGGCGGCGTCGCGGGCCCTCCAAGCGAGTCCGGACAGCGTGACCAGCGGGCTGAGTGACGGTGCGCGTTCGGCGTCGTCCCCGACGCGCTGGCGGCTCCGAGCCGGATTACGCGTCCGTCACGGTCCTGGTACGCCCTGTCGTTGCCTGTCACGGCGGGCGCGCTGGCGTGCGGTAAGTGGGTGCCGCGCGTCGACGGTGCGGTGCCGCGTCGGCCCGCCGCTCGACAGGAGGCCAACAGAACAAGTCGACAAACGACAAAGCCGTACGTGAAGAATGAACTAGGCGCAGTCGCGGAACGAGCACTACCAGCCCAATTGAATCGGGGAACGAAGGCAACCGGAAGAAGCCCCCGCCCAACCCTTCTTCCTCCTCCTTGGCGTCGAGCCGTCCGAGCCCGTGCGCAACCGCCCCCCGCGGTCGCCTCGCGCGCCGGCGAAGTCGGCGCCCGGCTCGCCGCGACCGCGCCCCGGCCGCGCCGCGCCGAGCGCCGTGGCCGAGTTCTACCTGCCATGCGCTCAACGCGTGACCGCAGGGGCGGTGAAGCGTGAGTGGTGACGACGGGCGCGGACCGGGCGGCGCTGCGCTACCGACGAGGCCGGCCGGCCCAGCGGGACGGCGGGGCGCGGGCGGAGCCGCGGGGGTCTCTCGCGGCGCCCGCCCGCCCGGCCCTCGCCCCCCGCGCGGAGCGCGCCGCGCCGACCCGCCGGCTGCGCCGCGAAGATCTCCCTGCAACGACCTCGCGCAAAAGGCGCCAAAACAGCGGGGATCCAAACCCCGGCTCGAAGACGCGCTCGTGCTGGTGAAGTGCTCCGCATATGGCGAAGAGGAAAGGCCGCGCGCAGCGGGAGCTCCTCTTCCTTCCGAAAGTCCGAGACAGTTACGCGACTCCTCAACAGCAGGGGAGGACGTGAAGAGAGCAACGGTGGTGAACTACCCCTGTCCCGCCCTCTCATGCCCCCTGTCCATACCTCGCCCCACCACGCGCCCTGTTATTTCCAGTCAATCGTGCTCAGCGCCGACCGTGTTTCGTCGAAGGCGCTGCGCCAAGAAGGAAGACGAGCGCCGCGGGAGGAAACCGCACCACCATCTGTCGCCACGCAAGGGCCGAGAACTCTTCAGAAAACTCAATCGCCGCAAGGAGGACGACCACAAGGAGACTCCGGGGCCGCACAGAGCGAGACATTACCATTACCCCCACGGGCGCCGCGCATCGTCCAAGAAGAAAGACGACGACAACCGCCGCCTTGCGAAACGAACTTGACGAAGCCCAAGTCGACGGAAGACGGCTCGTGCCGCGAGGCGAGTCCTGCGCGGCGCGTACGACGACCATGGTGGCGGAGCAGCCGACGGCGGACGGGCGCGCCGGCGGCGGCTGCGTAAAATGGAGGACGAGTCCGCCCCGCCGTCTCGCGCGGCCCCGCCGAACGCCCGCGCAAGAAGTCGGGCGGCGGCGACGGCCCACAGACGCAGGACGGCGTGTCACCTGCGGCAAGAAGTCAGGAGAGATTCTCGGCGACCGCCACCACCCCGGACGGGTGTGCTTGCGGCAAAGTCCGCCGCGCGGTGAGGTGGGGCCGCGCCGCGAGGAGGAGCCCGAGTTGCTCAAGTGTTCGCGCGCGCTTCGCTCAAGCTGTAGGACAACGAGGCCGACGCATCGCGCTGCCGCCGGCCCGCGAGCGCCGCCCGTCGGCAGGCCCCCCGCCGCGGCCCGGCGCCGCCGCTCGTCGCGACAGCGACAAGGAAACGAGGGCGCGACTCGCCAGGCGAAGAGCGGCGCGGAAGGTCGGCGCCCGCGCACCGCAGCGGGGTGCGGGCGGCGGGCCGCGGCGCCGGGCGGGCCGGCGGCCGCCGGCGCGCGGGCGGGCGCGGGCGGGGCTGGGCGCGCTGCGCGGGCGGGGCGCCCGGGCGCGGGCGGGGCGGCGCGCTGGCCGAAGATGCCCGCGTGCTGGCCGTGTCGCAAGAAGGAGACCGGGGAGGGCCGGCGGGCGACGCGGCCGGCGCCGAGGACGCCACCGCGCCGCAATTCAAGCGCATCCAGCAGCGCAAGGAGGAGTGGGAGCTGCGTGCGCAGGCCGCCCGCAAGGCCCTGCCCTAGGTGAGCCCCCGCCCTGCCACCACTTACTTCAATTATTCGAATTAACCGTTTTCATTACTCTACGTTCATCTGATTCTTCCACCCCACCACCTCCAATAGATACGGCCTTGTTTCACAAGGACCCCTTCTCCATCCTGTCCACCATCTGAAATCTTTGTTCCTGAGCGTTAACCCTGTGTTACTGAAATTGAACTCTTTTTTTTTCACTCATGCGATTTTCACTTCGTACAAATCACTTTTTATGCAAATCACTTTTCATCTAGTAATCCTTTCTCTGTCTAGTCCATTCAGTAGTATCTCTGGCAGGGGCAGGGGAGACCCACTCTCATGATATTTTCTACAACATCCTGTGGCTGTATTCTGATTCTGACCAAAATGAGTAGGCAAGGAATTTATGAAATTACCATGATCTGGCAGATAAAAGTAGGACTACTGCTATGAACCTGTATTTTCATATCTAATGATGAGAAGAAACATAAACACATTATTTCCAATCAATACTACTCTAATGGCTACCATGTTCATCTCTGAGGCTGCTGTAATTTCCTAAGATTATTTTCATGGATTAGAATTTTTTCTTCTAGTCATGAGTAGTTATGACATAAATCAACATAGTTTGATTTATTGAGAGTTTCTTCAATGAATCATCAAAAATTATAACTTGAACTAAAATTCCACAGTGAATACGCTTTCTTTGATATTCCCCTTAGATTTTGCATGCCACAGTCTGCCATGAGTCCATTGCGATCTTCTTTCTTCCTCAGAGTTAACTGGTAACTAAAACTTTCTCAGGAATTGTCCTTTTTACTTTATTTATTCCACCTCCATCCAGTTCAAATCCCTAATTCTCTCCAGTCGAACTCATAAATTCATTATTTCTTAACCTTGATCCTTTGTTATTCGAGTGTTCAGAGGAATTGAGGCACTCAGAAAAATAACGGCAGATCCCAACCAAAGCTCGTTTTGAGAAAAATGACTCTTTCTGCTTTTGTTCACGTTTATTTTCACATGTTTATTTTCACATTTAAAAAATTTTTGAAGTTGGAATTTGAGCATTTTGTCACATTCCAATTCATTTGATATGTCAGCATAAGATAGATATATGGTAGGAGTTTACCTTCATATTTCTAATGGAAAATGTGTGGTTGATTGGGTTCTGCTGTTATTATCCTGAGCATCTCAATTGAATCATTTATTTCAGAAACCCATCAAAAACCATAATCTAATACACATTAGCCCATACCATACACATTAATTATTGTTCAAAGAGGATAGACACATTGTTTAGTGGATATTTATATATAAAATATTCATTTAGCAACTGCTATAATAAATAAATATAGTTTGAAATCAGGAAAATTGGGAGACTTTTCTCAGTTATCTTGAAATTTTGGGTTGGTTGGGTTCCTGAAATAAATGATTCAATTGAACTTCTTCTTTAACAATATCAACTTGGATCTTCCGCAGATCAGTAAGATCAATTTAAGCATAATTTACCTTGTCTGCATTCATATTCTCATAAATAAATTTCTATGTGTACAATTGTAGCCTGCTGAGGACCAATGCTTGGTTATTTGTAGGGAAGAATGTGCACTGATTTGGGCAGTTCTTTTAAAAGGATCAAAATGCATTTTAAAAGCAATTCATGAAATGTTTCTGATTAAACAAAATATTTATTACTATTGTTATTGTGGGAATAAGAAAGTAAAAATGTTAATGGTAATAGTTACGTTTCACATATTATGGAACTTTGCAAGGCAAAAATGTGAAAAAACCAATTAAACAATAATTATTTGCAATTTAACCTCATTGAAGACTATTTAATTTTTCAAAGTAGTTGTAATATTAGTGTTTCACAAATGTTTGTAAAGAAAAATATGAAACGTTTTTAAATACTCCATGTTTTTTTATTTTGATTTTCTGTGAATTTTCATAAATTCATTTCGATTCATTTAATATTGGAATTTTGTCATGAAAAGACTTTACAATCTTTCAAGACATGTCGGAAACTTGGATTTCAGCTTTAAAATTTCCTCAAAAAAACCTTAGAATTTTATCTAAAAAACAAATTTCAAAAAGGTGTAAGAGAATAATATAAGATAGTAAATAAAGACATAATATAAATCACACATTATAACAGTCTTTATCATTTTCAATATCTAATATCAAACTGCACGAAACTGATCTCTGTTTCGTAATAACAGTTATTAATATGTAAATATTGTAATAATCTATGACTCGCTGTAAACAACTACAATCAATTTCATAATTAAAACAAAAATTTCTAATAATTAGTTGCATCCTTTAATTACTACCACCATCAGCCTGTCATTTTTGCAGGATGAATAGTGGAATTTGAAAGAAAAAAGTGCATTTGAATTTTGACAAAGTGGATTAAATATTGTATGATATTCATATTGTCACATTTTATGACATTAATATTTCATAAATGTAATGCACATGTGTGCAGAAAATTAAAATAGATCAATGCTTCAGAATTTCTCTCTCTTAAATTTTTAATTAAATGGTAGCGAACAAATTGATATTGAAAGGGACAAACTAGGCTAGACCAAATACTACATTTTGCAATTTATTCATTTATTTACTTATTTGCTTATTTATTAAAAGATAATAACATACATAAAAATTTAATGTAGAAAAAATTTAAATAGAAATTGTTAAAATGAGTAATACTGTAATAACAAAATAACACATTAACACTCCATTCAAACACATGTAATACTACTTATAATAATTGATTTACTGTCCGACTTTCATAACGTATCAGAAGGTGTGCTGAATATGCTTCCTGTCATTGAGATACATTATCTACCTTTGCATACAATTCAGTTGTATATTGTCTTTGTGTAATAGATGTTAGTTTGTGAGAGGAGATTTCAAAATAATATTTTCATAGAATAAATTAATTTGCATTTTATTTTTACAGATTTCTCCATCCAAAGATGATTCATGAATTTAAACTGCAATTAAAGTTTTTTTCAGGAATTTGTTGACCTTATAAATGCTTCTTTGAAGTGTTGACCTCCAGTGTTCAATGTTCAAATTAACTGCTTTGTATATTAGAGCAGAAGTGATTGCAAAACACAATAACCTGTGTACATATGCTATAAATTGCTTGCCTAAAGCATAATTCAGCTATAACTGCATGCCAATTTGCATAACAATGTGTGAAGTGAAAGGATAAATTTAAATACTATTAAGGTTTGTTTATGTTTCAGGAAATCGATTCTTTGCTCGTTTAATCCAGATTCTTGCCTTCTGGCGGCGACTGCAAAATCGGTAGCATCTGGCCTGTCAGCACATGACTCCAGTATTAATGTTGAGAAAGCTTTGTGAAAAAGCTGCATATACCACCCAAAGAATATATCCTCAACTGCCTTGGATAAAGAATACTGCAGCTTAGGAGTGATTATGTAGAGTATGCCTATAATAATTCATGAGGCATGTGTTGTAACAATCTGAGATTGTGTTAAAGTATATTTTCCCATTGTGGCCAAAAGTTTATTTTATTAGTTGTGTGATGAAGTTTCTTGTGACTCTTAATCACTTTTTAAATTTTGTGCTACAAAATGATTGAAAGTGAATAGTATGCAGGGATATAGGATACTTGTCGTATTGTAACATACGTCAACATATCCTGGGTAGAAAGTTAATAAATGCAGTGTGATGGAAACATGACAATTGACACAAAATTTTTATTGAAAGTCACTGCTGTTACTTACTTGTGATTTTTAAATTGACATTTAAAAATTTGATATTTCAGGTTATATTATTTTTAAATGTGGGTTCTGCATGCTCTCTCAAAATGAAGTAAATTATAAAATTATTGTTATCAACTCATTTACTCATATCTCTGTGAAATGTATTGTATAGCTTTGTTCCTATGGATGGGTGCTCTTGTTAGAATTGGCCTACAGAAGTTATGGATGAAAAAGGTACAGGGTAAGGTTGCAAGTGAAATTGAAAATATAATACTTAAGAGCAGGATTTTTGTTCATTGTAAGTATATCAAAAGTCATGTAAACAGTATGCGAAATCACACACATTGTTACAGAATGTATATCTCCAATAGGTACAAATGTTTTACATTCATATTAAAACTTAATACTTCCAATGGATTCATATAATATACTCTGGGATTTTTCTTCCATTTTGACAAAGTTGGTATTACCAATTTATCCGTGTTTTGTAGAAAGGAATATGTAATATTACACTCTAAAGTTTGTGATATGAGCAATGCATGATAAAATGATCTAAAGTGCTTTGAAAGTTTGTGATCAGATGAACTGTGATGTGCATTTTATTCATCCCTTGACCTCTAAGTGGAACAAGCCCAAATTTTTACTATATTTCACTAAAACAGCCATTATGTTGATATAGCTGTTCGAGCAATATTCAATTCTGTGAAAGATTTCCTATAGTGATAATAATTATGCCACCAGCTTTCACATCTTTAATCATAGTATATATTGATTGATGTTGCTGATTATTGTTGTAAGATTAAATAATACTTGATTCTGTCTTCTGCATTTATGATAGAAATAACGTACACGTATTCCTTGTATGTTGTAATAAGAATATAGAACAGAGTCATGGAGAGAGTTTAAGTGATACATCAGTGTACCTTGCAAGCACTGTATTTTCTGTAGAATAATCTGTGTATAGCTTACCTTTCAACACAGAGTAAGAAATTGGGTTGCACTGAGAGGAATTTTGTATAAATCCTACTATTCTTTGTATACAGTCCTGTTCTTGATGAATTAATTGTAAGTGATATTTTTTATATTTGTGTGTATAAAGTCAGAATGTATATAGGATCATGATTGAAATGCTTTAGTTGGGATATCCCCAACTTTAATAATGAGCTGTAGATTTTACACACTTCTGCAGTACTATTTATGTGTTTGGAACAATATTCACTATATGTGTTTAAGAGTGTTTTCAATAGAGTAATTTTGTTTTCATATTTTTCATAAATCCACATTTGTATAATAGTAAATAAATAAAGTAGTTGTTTTCACCGCTGAAGTGCCTAAGATGTTTCAGTTTTAATAATTGGTGTTGTCTAAAGCATTTTGATAGTAAGAAAACTTAACTTTGTGTAAGTGTTGTATTTAATCCAATAATGTATTTGTACTGTGGCTGCCATGTAATTATCATGTACCATGTTGATTATAATGCAGGGTGTTGGTATGCAGAGTGTTGGAAATCCAACATCTCTGGAGAAGTACTGGTGACCTACTTGAATGGACTGTCACCAAGAAGGCTGTGTGAGTTTGTCTTAAATTGTATATAGGCTTCTTGCTTTGAACAATATAATGTATTTTTATTGCATTGTGATTATGTCAGATTCTTTTAGTATCTGATGATTAAAGTGGTGATTCATCTGCTGTGGAAATTAAGAGGAGATAAAATTGATAACTTCCATAATGTTTAATAATATGCAGTGCTAATTTGTTAACACTCAAAATGTAAAGTAAAGTAATGAAAATATAGAACTGATCATGTGCAAAAACTTTCTTTTAAATATACCTAGAACAACAACATTTCTCAAAATTATTTTGTAGACACAACTTCCTTTTAGGTATTATTTATTTAGATTTTTTAGCAGAATTTAATTTTTCTGTGTCAGACCAAATGAAGAATGAATTGCTATGTTTCATTTAAAAAAAAAAAATTGTTTTGAGTCATTTTGTTTCTCGTCTTTCTAATTCTTTATGAATAATAAAGTACCTTACCTATTCCTAGCTTATTTTCCCTACATTTAGGACATATATTTCAATAAAATAAACTTTTTTAAGAGTAAACATCTTCATAATACACTGAAGCACTGTTAGGTATTTGATAAAATAGCCTGAGGAAATAAAAATTAAGTTTTAATAGGAAACAATGTCAAACACAAAAATAAAAACAAGAAAAATATACAGATTTTTTCGCTATAGTAATATAATTAAACTTCCTGTTCAATAATGGGTAAAAAATAGATGATTATTGTTTGCAAACATTTGTGAATAATTAAATATATTTGGGTTTCTATTGGCAATTCATTCATTTTCATTAAGAGTAAGAGAAAAAGGAGTTTGCAAACTTTCTTAAACAAAAATAAAATCAATGCAGACAAAGCTTTTATGAAGGTTACTTTATTACATGTTGATGTAATGGTTATCAAATATTTTTTGTCAGATGAAAGTCACTTTTTAAACTCTTCGCAAGCGTTAAGTTGGTAGTGCTCATAGGGTGTTTGGTTTTAGTTGGCAAAACTGCACACGATCGAACATGGCTGGCGTATGTTGGAAGTGTCAAACTCGGCGGGGTGAAATATCGGATTTCTACTAGCATAGACCTCTACAATTGGAAATCCCTGCCAACTAGCGTAGCTGCAACGCCTGGTAAGTCGTCACAATATTTATTTTCAGCTCGAAACCGACAAGGTTAGTAATTTGTCTGGAAACATAATTTGGAACGTTAAATGTCACTTCGAAGTTTGCCTGCCTCCGACCGGTTTAAATTATTCGATCAACCCGCATTTACTTTGGGGCGGTTGTGTGGCTCGTAGTTCCTCGAAGGCGCGAATCTGGGCGTGTTTGAGTGAGTCCGTCGCATGGGTCAGAGGGGGACCTGCCCGATGGGCAGAGTATCGACCCACCCGCCCGCGCGCATACCGACGGCATGTGCGCCGCCTTGCGTCGCGTCGCGTCGGGCGAGGAGAGGAATGCAGCGCCCTGCTGCGGAATGCGCGCTGCGCGGGCGGAAGGAGGGTCTTCCATTTCATCTTCCACTTTAGTGTGCGATTGTCCATTCCTCATATTTCAGTTGCACTTAATTACGGATATGTAGCGTACACCTTCCGGAACTTTTCTTTCCATTTCCGCAAATAAATTCATTGGGTTTACGACCTGCGATCGAACCAAAAATGCGAAGAAAATTACTTTTCTTTTTTAAAATCATTCTTTATATTTTTTGGTTTGTCACTAAAATATCATTAAAAAATCCGCGCACAGTGAAATCATTTTTTTGTGGAAGTATTTGCGTGAAATATTTTATTAACTATCTTAATTTTTATTGTACGGAAAAGAACATTCGGATTTTTAAGTGAACTAGAAAAAATCTCTAGTTGCCCAGAAGCTCACAGAAAATTTGGACGCGTCACGTAGTGCTTCTGCAAATTTAAAGTCAAAGTGAACATTTACCACATTATTGTAAATCTAAATTTTCAGGCAGGAATGGGTTATGTCAAAAAATCCAAAAATGCATTTTCAAATTATTACATTTGCTATCGCGTTCTTTTACTATTTAAGTTATTGATTTAGGTTTATATGCATGATAAAATAAATCATAGTTTGTCTTGTTTCTGTAACAGTTTTCGCCCAATTTTGTATTGCTTAAAATCGACATCCTTCTACAAGTCAACGCCAACTTACCGTGATCACAAAATGTCCCAGTAGGTATTCCATGTTTCGAAATGAATCATATTTTGATTGTAACTGTAGCAGCCCAGTTTAAATGAGAATGCGACAAAAATCAATGACAGAAACATCCAACATCTGCATTTTAATTAAATATTATATTATTTTTCAGATTTTTTGGAAACAAAGTACATTTGTGAATAAATATATGAATTAATATGAAAACACACAGGGTTAGTTATTACAAATTATTAAATTTAATCCCGATTTCATTTTGTCTTGTGCAGCAGAAATTCATAATTTTCTCATCTACAAATCAACAAAATATGATTATATTTTCAAATGTGATTCTATTTTCAATTGTGATTTTTCATGATAACTTAAGATTGTGGGAAACAAAACTTTCTAGAAACGCATTCAAATGTTTAATCTTTTGGGTAGAACTCGTTGGGTCCCTTATTCCTGTTAAGAAAGGAAGCTATAGAACGTCTTGTATGACTATAGATTTCTTTGGCAATTGCAACCTCTCGCTAGAAAGATAGCAGAATTTTACGGGAATAGTTCCTCATAATTTCAATTTTCGGTTCTATTGAGAGTTTTTTTTTCCTTTTCTCTATAGCACGATGTTTTTCCCGTTTGTAGTTAATTTAGCTTTCTATCGGAAGTGCGTAAATAACAATAATAAAGGGGTTAAGAAACAACACTACTCATGGATGGAAGCGATGAAGCGATGGGGAAGAAATCTCTTTAAGTTATTCGTCTTCAAGTAGAAAATGTGTGAAATTACATTTACAGTCATCAACAAAGCTATGTATTTAGAATGCGCGATATTGACAAGTATTTGTTTTGGTTTTCTCATGAATATTCTACGAATGTTGAGGGGTCGTAAAAACTTTCCACTTTTATTGAGTTCAGGTTTTCGAATTTTGAGGATTACTCTGCGTAATCTGAAGACAGAAAATTACGTACACAGATTTAGTTGAGAAGATAATTAGTGGATATTGGTTTTGTATTATATTTTACTTTAGAAATTGAGATATTGTGTAGTTTTGGGAGGCTACATGAAATACTATGTTGTTTAAAGATTTTCGTAAAATTAATTTGATAGTAATCACACACAAATTAAATCACGTGAATACCTCAGTCTCAAGTTATGGATGTCGTTGCAGAACAAATTCGTCTTGCTCACGCTAAACAAACTTTAGAACCATAACTACACGAAATGAGCTGGACTTCCACAGAGACCCAGTGCAAGCAGAAGTTTCGAAAAAATATAGGAGAGGCTCAGCTTTGGCTGATTTACCCTTTTGTAAGGATAACGTTTTACCAGAAAAGGTGTTCGTTTTTTGTAGAAATATCCTGGTGCTGGTGAAATCGTAGGTTTATTATCTTCTTTATTATATAATTAAATATGTTCCTATTTCTTTAGTATCGAGATTTACACATGGGTGAATATAATAAAATATATATTTGGAAACATTTTGTTTCGTTTCTGTCAGTTACGCATTTTATAGCTCCACTTACTCACCCTCGTCGATGCAAAAATTTATACGAATCTAATTAACCGATCAAAAATGGTAGGTATTGACTCAAGGCTTTCTTGAGTAAACGTTTTTAACCATTTGTTTGTTTTTGCGACCAGAATTTCAAAATGATCTCTTCAAACTTTTATTATGGCCATTTTTGTAAATGATATTCAAATTTGAGCATTCGTTCGAGAATTACATAGCTTCAAAATACGAGTCTGAAGTACACTCTATTCTGAGTAGATTGTTCATAACTATGTCTTTAGTTCCATGTATCAAGTGAAACACATTTTATAGACATGAAGATGTCAATAATTTCGTATTGTTTGTTTAAACTAAGGAATATTAACGTAATAAATTCATTTAGAACATATAAAGTAAATTATTTTCGAAGATGAAGTCATTGTCATTTTCGTATTAACTGTTGCAATAGAGGCTTTTTAAAGTTTTCTACTGGAGAAATAATATTCGTTACAAAAAGTCGTTTTTTACTTGAAGAGAACATTATTCAGGTAAATTGAGCCAAAGAAGTTGCCTGCACAGCAGTGTAGTGAAGGGGTTGGAATACCCATCATGCATTCGCGTACCTTGCTGGGTATCGTGATTAAACGACTTGCTCGCTGATTCTCGAACGTCTGATTCTTTCGGTTGATTTCCACGCCCGGGTCTGTCGGGCGCGGGGCGCCTTGCGAGAGATATAGCGGCGAGCCCACGCAGCGCGGAGCCGCGACTCAGGGAGTGAGTGTTCGTGGTCGATAGTGGTGGCTCTTAGGGCCAGGGGCGCCGCGCCGCGCCGCCCCGCCCCGCCCCGCCTTCGCCGCCTTCCCTGCCACGCCACCGCAGCCTTCCCTGCCCGGCGAGTTTCCCGTCGCTATCGCCACTCCTGTAGCTGCCACCCGCCGCATTCTCACCGCCCGCAAAGTCTCTGCCGCTCCGGAAGCCGTCTTTATATGTCGGACTCGCTTCCGTTGGCATTTCTGTTCTTAGTCAATGCCCAACTCCCACTTCCACCTCCTGCCAATGTCCTCGCAGCTGATTCCATCCCCGCCGGCCACATTGGAATTGCGATGCTGCCCTTCACTGTTGTTCTCGATTTTGCTTCAGTCACTGTCCCATCAGAGTTCTCTCAGTACCCAGACCCTTCCCGCCCCGGTTTCAGACACTGTCACTGTCTTCATTGTCTCCGTCACTGTGTTCGCGTCTCTCTCCGCCCACTGTCTCCGCCCACTGTCCCCGCCCACTGTCCCCGCCCACTGTCCCCGCCCACTGTCTCCGCCCACTGTCTCGGCGCCACGTTGTCGTGCGAGTCGCGAGCGTGTGCGCCTCCATGACTCCGGTCGCGAGGTGTCTCTGTTCCACTGTTTCCCCGCCTCCGTACTGTCTCCGTCTGCCGTCACTGCTCGTCCGTTCCGTCTGGTCCCTGTCCATCGTTCTCATGTTCCGCCTCTGTCTGCCTCTTGTCTCGTCCTCTGTCTCCGCCTCTGTCTCGTCCGCTGTCTCCGTCCGTCTGTCCTCGTCAGCTGTCTCCGTCATCGTCTCCGTCCACTGTCTTCCGTCCATGTCTCGTCCACTGTCTTCCGTCCACTGTCTCCGTCCACTGTATGAATTCTCCGTCACTCGTCTCCGTCCACTTCTCCGTCCACTGTCTCTCGTCCACTGTGTCCGTCACTTCTCGTCCACTGTCTTCGTCCACTGTCTCCGTCCACTGTCTCCGTCACTGTCCCGTCCACTCCTTCACCGTGCACTGTCTCCACCGCTGACTCCGCACACTATTCCGCCTCTGTCTTCGTCACTAATCTCGTGAAATCCTCATCTCCCGTCATTGTTTCAGACTGGTATCCCGTGCTATTAATATTTGCGTCTCCTTCCCTCACCGTCCACTGCCACCGTCTTCGTCCTCTTCCTGCGTATCTCATCTACTCTCTCCGACCCTCACGCCCCAGATCCCGCCTCATTCAAGCAAATCTAGGGCTGGCGCGACGTGCGTCGGGTGATGCGGGCGCGTGGGACAGGGGGGCGCGGGGACGTCGACCGGCTTCGACGCTCTCGCTCGCTGATGACTCACGCGCGCCACGCCGCTCCAGCCCCCGCCCCGCCCGCACCGCGCCGCCCGCAGTTCGCCAGCGTGTGAGGGGCGACCCGCCCACTACCGTATGCCTTCACAAGCATGCCCTCGGGCAAGGTGGCGACGCGACGGCGCTCCAACATTACATATTTTTACAGCGTTACGACGTTAAAGACTGCCACGAAACAATTTTCTGCTATTCCACGCTCTTTTTCAGATGAACTACCGCAATTTTTTTGTTTTTATTTTATTTTATTTTTTAACGAATTCATTTCGGCGACACCAAGGAAATTAGCGAATTTTTGGTTTCGAGATTAATTGCGCAGTCAGGGTTATAGTTTGCGTCATGAAAATATTTTGTGACACGTTAGAAACGTAAGAGAAAGGGTAAA